TAAAATGAAATCAGTCTTTTCTTTTCTTTCTTGACAGGGTCTTGCTGGGTGGTTCAGGCTGTCCTTGAACTCAGTGATCCTCCTGCTTCACCCTTTCTATTGCTGGGATTACAAATGTGTGCCACCATGCCAGGCAATTAAATGTTTATTGTGTAATTGCTTAATATTTGTAATTGCTTAATATACCTTCTACAAGATCGCCAGTCTTTATTGCCCCTAATCTCCAGCATGGGGATTATAGGGACCCTATAAATATTTATTGAATTAATGATTAAATCCTCACCCTCATAGGATAGATTGTCTCAACCATGTACAGTGGATCTGCTGTTTAAGAAAGAATAAACTTAAAATCTTAGGGAGGAAACATCCCACACTGATCGAGTATCATTACAGTGACATTGTTAGGTGACCAAACCTGTGTCTTTTATTAGATTATGAGAGATAGTGCAGAGTAGACGACTCTGACACTGCTTTCTGTCCTTCACATTTTCTATTGTGTCACTTTTTGCCTGGAGGAGAGAGGAGAAAAAAAGGAGCAGATGCTAAAAATGGCTGATATATTATTTTGATTCCCGATAGCTTCTCTAACAGCTCCCTGCTCAGATTCAGTGTATGATCGTCTTTCTTTGAAACTGCCAACTTTGCAGTGGCATTGGAGTAAGCGAAGCTCTTTTCCAGGATCAGCCAGCACATATTGAATGTACCAGAGTGAAGCCAAATCTTTTCATATTCTCTCCTTTTGACTGCTGAGAGTCAGGGTTTGAAATTGACTTCAGCAAGAGCTGTTCTGCCCCTCAGGAAATAGTGGTGAAATCTTGACAGGAGTGTATGTGTCTAGCTCACCAAACTGTCCCTGTGCCAAATGCATAATTGTAAGTACTCAGTAAGTGATTGAATGAATATATTTATGGCCTACATAGCACAAGGCTATATTTCCTTGTGTCCACTATTTTTAGACAGATATTATCTTCCACTCTTCTCAATAACAACACTTCCTTACCCAGAGTAACCAGTGCTGTATGTCTAAGTCAGCAGAAGAGGGATTGAAATGTCTTGAACTCATTTTTAAAAAGGAGCTAAATCTGATTAAGTAAAATATTGCTTATGAAATTGACACAGAAGCAGCTCAAAACGTGGGTTACATGCAGAGGATGCTTCTCTTTTCAGGCTGTCTGGAAAATTTGAGGCTTAGATAGTCATAGGGCATTGTAACTGAAAGATAGTCTCATGTGGATATCTGTTGGTACCACAGCTTTCCCATTATGCAGATGGGAAAACCAGGGCCCAAAGAGGAAACGGGAGTTTGCCTAAGGTTATTACTCATCATGTTGATGGTAGAGTTTGGACTTGAACACAGCTCCCATCACATCACATCCCCCCTCTCCCCTGCCCTCCGCTTTTGAAGGTTAAGTAACTCTGGGAGAGTTCAGAAAAGCAAAACTTTTTTAAATGGGTTGTGTTGAAACAGTGATTTCACATAATGTATGACCATTCCATCATAAACTGGCAGGAACGGTGTGTTGGGGATTTAGGAAGCTTTCAAAAGAGGTCTTACAAATCTTCAGAATTCCAAACTCTTGTCCTAGCTTAAAAAGTAAGCAGTAGCTGCTAGAATTGAATAGATTTGAATTTTTCATCTTCACGGGGGTAGATGCCAGAACAGTTACAGTAGTTTTTGAGAAAGATTCCTGGCCCCATTCTTCCTATAATGTATGCCTCTGACAGCTGGCCTCCTGATCTATTTTTAGATATAATCTATGGGATTACAAAGTGGTTTCATTCTTTTAAAGCTATATTGCAGAAATACAGCTTTGTAGAAAAAGTTTTTTCTTCATAGCAATTTGTAGAGGAGTATGAAGGCTTTCTTTCTTTTCTTTCTTTTTTTTTTTTTGTACTGGGGTTCGAACTAAGGACCTTGCTTTTGCAAGGCAGGCAGCGGATCCACTGAGCTAAATCCCTGGCCCTTGGAGACTAGTATGGAGATTAAGAAGAAAAATAATTTTTTAATTTAGTCACTGATGTAGTTCCCTGCATCCAAATACTTTATCTTAAAGACAACTTCCAGTTGTAACCACAGTCTAACAAATTGAAAAGCAAATGCTAAAATGCAGAAGCATTAGAAATACAAATATATTATATCTTATTATTGTCATATCACTAATCTCCAATTTGCTGTCTGGGTTATGGGAAGTAAATAGACATTCCTTGTAGGGCTTTAAAACTAACTCATAGCAAACATCCATTGAGCATTTATTGAACACGATTTATGTCCTGGGAATTGAGCTTGCTTGATACTAGTTTATTAACTTTATGCTTCATAATAACCAAGAATGGTAAGGATGGTGTCTCTATTTTATATGAGAAAAATTTGAGACTTGTAGCAATTTAGTAACTTGCCCAAGCTTCAGAAATAGGAAATAGTAGAGCAAGAATTGGAAACCAGATCTGTCTGACCTCCGAATCCATCTCTTTCCTCTATCTTAGGCGCCTTCCTCTGCTTTTAAGAAGCTGATTGGAGGAACTGGAGTGGTTAGGTTTATTTGAATGGTGTCATTATTTACTTACACATGTACATGTGCAGAATCATACCTCAGTACTCATCATTAATTCATTCTGGAACTTGTAATGAGTGCCAAAACTAATGAGTACTGAATGCATTTTTCCTGTAAGAATAATGTAATTAGAACTTTCATATTTTACTAGGCTAATATTAACCTTTACTAGGCTAATATAAGCTTTTTAGGCTTCGTGGTATCCTAACCTTGTCATCCATGATTAGAACTTAAAATGCACAGAAGTGCTATACAAAGCAACAATGAGGACTGTGAGGGTTCTACACTTGTTTTGAGCTACTGTGAGACTGATGCAAGTGGCAAGTGTGGAAACATTTCTCCTCAAAATGGGAGAAGCACTGTGTTTGATGTGTTCTGAAGCTCAGTACTGAGGGTGTGTGTGTGTGTGTGTGTGTGTGTCTGTCTGTCTGTCTGTCTGTCTGTCTATTTTGAGACAGTCTCATTATGTTACCTAGGCTGGCCTTGAACTCTCCCTAGCTGGGACTATAGGAGAGTGCCACAGCACCCACTTCCAAATACAGTTTTTAAGGACTTTAATTCTTATTATTGTATTATAAAATAGAATTTACATAGAACTGTGTGTTCATAAATATTCATTTTGGTCCACAAATATTATTTGAAGGTTTCATTAGTTTCTTGATAACATGAATGAAAAAAGTCTGGAAGACATGGTTTACTACTTTAGAGTTACAAAATGTTCATTTGAAAAGGCTCTTGGGGCTGGGGATTTAGCTCAGTGGTTTCACAGCCTGCTGCACAAGCGCAAGGACCTGAGTTCGATCTCCGGTACAAAAAAAAAAAATACACACACACACACATATGAAAAGGCTCTTGATTATTTGTTCACAAAGCATTTGCAGTCTAAGAAAAAAATAAAATGAAAAAACAGTGTGACAAAGTTACCCTAAAAATTGGGAAAAAAATATCAGTGTCACCAGAGGTTAATTCTTACCTTATGCCAGTGACTATTTTTTGGGAAACCCATGCAAGTGATTTAGAATTTGACAGGCAAGATTTATTCCTTCAAACTGGAATAACTAAGAAGCTACAAATACAATATTTATCCAACATTATACACAATGATGTGTTACATTAAGGTGGCAGGAAGACACTGTTGTAGTCCCCTAGAAAGTTAGAAGAGGCAGGGTATTTTCCAGAAAGTGAGGGTCCTACGAGGCAAGACTTTGAGCCTTTTCAGTTAGCTTTGCAAAGTGGCTGTGAGAAAAGGGGGCAGCTCTCAAAACTTACATCTGCCCACTTAAAACAACACTTGACTCTTTTTTTGAGACAAGGTAATGATGTATTTAAACCTGTCCTTGAACTCTCCATGTAGCCTAGGCAGGCCTCAAACTTATGACAATCCTTCTCACTCAGCCTCCCATGTTGTACTGCCACGCCCAGCTTTGGACTCTCATTTTCTGACCCTCATTTTCTTCACTGGTAAAACAAGGTTAATGATACCTTCTCACAGTTATTCTGAAGTCATCATCTTAAGTGGATTTATTTTTAAATGCTCAAGATGAGGAAATGTGTTTCGAAACTACTTGAATTACAACATTTTACCAGTGATGTAATTCCAACAGTAATTATATTTAAATAACTCACTGTCACACCTTGTTTTTAAGAAAATATCTTCTCATTATACAGTTGGTTTCTATATGGCCTATTTTAATGTGGTTAGAGTTGATTTAATTGGCCTAATAACAATTCTGGTTTCATTACTGATCATTCTGCAAGTTCCTGGCCTTGGTTCGTAGGCTTTGTACAACAGTGGAAAATGTTGAATTAGCTTCCCTTTTTAACCATATTCATTTGTGGAAAGAAGAATGTGAAGTATGGATCCTGAGAGGCCATCTGAGGTGGGAAGAAGAAAGCATTGCAGAAGACAGGGACTTCTTTCACCTGGCTTTGGCTTGTCACTTGCAGCTGAGGTGGTCAGCACAAAGAGGATGTGCTGGCTTGTTAACATTAAAAACAGTGGCCAGGCTGGAACTGATAGCACACACCTATACTCTTAGCACTCTGGGAGGCTGAAGCAGAAGGATTGTGAGTTTAAGCTTAGCCTGGACAATTTAGGGAGACTCAAAATTTTGTAGATGGGCTGAGAATTGTAGCTCAGTGTGAGAGCCCTGTGTTCAATTCCCAGTACTGCGGGGCAAGGGTGGTGGTGGTGGTGGTAGTGGCAAATGGCCAAGGACTGGGGATGTAGCTTAATGGCAGAAGGTTTGCCCTAGCATCCATAGGCCCTGGGTTCAATCCCTAGGACCACTAAAACAAAACAAAGGCCAAACGGTGTCCCTGACAACACTCCCGTAAATACCCCATCATTTCCCCCACCTACGTTTTGTTCATTGGGTCCACAGCATTTTCCGTTGCTCTCTTTTTTTTGGTATTGGGGGTCGAACTTGGGTCCTTGTGCTTGCGCAGCAAGCGGCGAAACCACTGAGCTAAATCCCCAGCCCTTCCGTTGCTGTCTTTAAAAAAAGATCACCTCACTCTATTTTACGAACATACTGTTCTTTAATCCAAACTTTTGCTAGAATGGAACTGCTCACTTTGTCATTCTGCTGAAAGCACCTTAGCCTGTGTATTTTCAAAGCCTTCTGTGATCATTTCTTGTTTTCTGCCTTTCATGCTTTTTGCCATCCTGCAAAAGGGAAAATGGTACATCATAGTTCATCATTCCCACCTTTTCCTTTTTAAGTGAGTAGAGATTATTTGATATGGCTATTTTGTAGTCAGATCTGGGTTCTTATCCCAGTACCACCTACATTCTAATTGAGAAAACTAGACCAATATCTTAATTTCATTACTTGCAGAAATGGTAAACATTGTTTCAGAGGTGTTGAGTGTTGAATGAAACGATATATGTAAAACATTCAGTTGAATTGCAATGCAGTGCATTAGTATTTGGGAAATGCTTACTCTTTTTTTTTTGGTACTGGGAATCGAACTCGGGACCTTGGGGTTGCTAGGTAGGCACCAGCACCACTGAGCTAAATCCCTGGCACAGGAAATGCTTACTCTTGTATCCTTTTCTTCCAAAAGCATTTTCTAAATAGAGCAACATTAATTCCTGCTCTTATCCAGCAAATATGTGTTAATCACCTCCTATAAAGATAGCTTCTCAGTAATCCTTTGTCTTTAAACTCCATTTTATTATTGGGAAAAGCATTTTAAGTTCCAGCTAGGTGGCCTGAAAGTGACTTTGGGGAATATATATAATTTGTAAGTCAGGATCTGTCATGCTGGAACAAAAATAACTCTGAAAGATAAACCTCTGGATTTTATTTATCTATGATATTTCTGCCTTTTAATAGTGCATAGGATAATCACTCAATTCTAAATAAAACTACATTGTAGATTTATTAGTCAAGGTGTTCAGAGAAACAGAACCAGTATGGTGGGTGGATGGATACATGAATAGATGAGATTTTTAAAAAGGAATTGGTTCACATGATTATGGGGGCTGACAAATCCAAAATCTGCAGGAAGTATTAGCAGGTTGGAGAGCCAGGGCTGCAGTTACATCTTGGGCTTGCAGGCCAGGCACCCAAAAGAGCTGATGTTGCAGTTTGAGCCCAAAGGCAGTCTGTTAAACAGTGTTCTCCTGTACAAGGGAGGCTGATATTTTGTTTGTTCTATTCAGGCCCTCAGCAGATTAGGTGAAACTCACCCACTCTTAGTTAGGTATAGTGCCTATAATCTCAGCACTAAGGGAGGCTGAGACAGGAGGATTGCAAGTTTGATCCCACCTGGGGCAACTTAGTAAGACCCTGTCTATGTATGTATGTATGTATGTATGTATGTATTCAAATATATATTTGAAGGGCTGGGAATGTAGCACAGTGGTAGAGTGGTCCTGCATTTGACTTTCCAGTACCACCACCACCTAAGAAAGAAAGTTAATCTTATAGAAAAACATCTTCCAAGAGATACCTGGAATAATATTTGACCAAATGTCTGGGAACCTTGTGGTCCAGCCAAATTGATACATAAAATTAACCATCACAATAGATTTAATGAAGAAAACACTAGATTTAATGAAAAACACGTCCTAGAGATTTTAACAATATTGTTATTATTGTTGTGCCTCTTAATAATAGTAAAATGGCTTTTGCTCTTTCCGGTATTTTCTCACATATGTGATCTTAACTGACCTTCACAGCAGCTTTTGTGAGGTTATCAGAGGAGAGATGTAACTGCATCTGAGGTAATAGGATGCTAAAACGCAGATGGGGAGACACGCATGAGGTCTCACAGGAAGTGAGCAGCAGAGTTACAATTTGGCTAGGTCCTGAAACTTCACACCCAGACATTTCCTCCTTGGCCATGCTGTCTGTGGCACTGGGGGTGATCTGGAAAGAGTTTGTCTTGTGGCCTTTCTTGTAATAGGTATTACATTTCTCCTCAAAACCATTTTATGATAGAAAGTTAACCAAATACATATTGGCAGAATTTAAGATTTTGTTTTCAAATGACTTTAATGATACCCTGAGGTTGAAAAAAGGAAAGGAAAAAAGTTAGCAACAGAAAGAGCAATGTCAAAAAGTAATTAGAGCAGGACAAATGGATTGTGCTGCCACGTTCAAGGCTGCTACTTCTGTAGGCAGTGAGAAGGAAGGGCACTAATGTAATGTGATGGATCTGGAGCAAAACCCAGGCATCAAGTGAACTGCTGGGACTCAGCCAGTGGTGAGGCTTATATCACAGGTTTGACAGAATAATCTTTGATATCTGAGTTTCATGTTTTTTTGTAAACTAATTGTTTTAAGGGACCTATTTTCTTGATTTCAGCTTTTGGGAAATGATCCATGGATGGACCTGTGAAGGTAGTCATTGCGTTCTAGGATAACTCTTATCACAGAATTCTGCCCTCCTTGCACATTCCCAAGCTGGACAGGTACATGATGTTGACAGGGCTTTTGGAAGAATCAATACCTAAAATGAAACTAGATTGAGTGGCTGAATAGTACTTGTACAGAGAAAAAGTAAAACAGTAAAGGAGCCTTCTCAGTCTTCAGCTTGGTATTAGAAAATGGCCTGGAAAAGTTCAAAAGATAGTAACGCTGTCATCTGTCTTGAGGTCAGGATATTTTGATTTGCTAGCCAGTTGACCTTTAACTGTGATCCTGTTGTTGCCATGGAGTACAAGGAAACTGCCACAGCCCTCAAGAAAATAGAACTTCTAGGGCCAGGGATTTAGCTCAGTGGTTTCGCTGCCTGCTACACAAGCGCAAAGACCCGAGTTCGATCCCTGGTACCAAAAAAGAAAATAGAACTTCTTTCATTTGCCTGGAAGGAAATCTTCATAAAAGAAGAGTGGTCCGACTCTCCCCTGTGAGTCACCATATCCTTGAAGTCTGGCTAACTGCTGCCACTATTATGGCATGGTAGTTAAGAGCTTGTGCCTTAATACCTATACATTTACTATATATGTCTTAGGGGTTCACATTCTAATTCTGCCCTGTATTAGCTGTTTGACCTTGGATAACTTACTTAATCTCTCTTAGCCTCAGTTTATCTCTAAAATAGGAATAGTAAACTACCAGACTTATAAGATTGTGGAGAGATGATACACACAAAGCATTCAGTACTGGTGGCACGCACGTAGTATTGGCCCAATAAGGATAGAAGACAAAGTATGGAGAGGAGGAGAGAAGCTTTATGTTGTCTACCCAGTAGGCATCAGTGGGGAGTTAGACATCCATTCTTTAGCTCTCTTATCTAAACAGATATAAATGGTTTCCCCTCAAGACACTATAGTACACCTGAGATAAGACTACAGTGGTTAAATCAGACTTTCCTTACTTAATACTCAGGATAGGGAGGAGAAATTAAGACAGAATATTATGATTCTAAATAATTTGACCCACAAGGTATTTCTTAGTCCTCTGGAAGGAATTATCTTTTCTTCCTCGGTCTTGCCTTGCCTGAACTGGCCCCCTTCCTCCCTCCGCCTTCCCCTTCTTCACCCCTCTGACCACTCAGAACTCACCAGGGGTCAGGATTGATACCTTGCATCACATCTCTATTTTCTTCAACCCACTTCATTTTGACAAGTCTTTCTGCTCTCAAGTCCACACTCTGTAGTGGATGGGCTGATATGAGGAGCAAAGAGAACCCTGCTTCCCTCCTTAGAGACGGACCTCCTATTTGGCATACTGGGGAGGGAAACATATTTCTGGACCTTTGGCAGTTTTCTCTTTCTGATGCTGAGTTCATAGCCCCCTTTTTACAGTTCTATAGTTTAATCACATTCTGAGTCTTCAGAGGGGCCTCAACAATTATTAGTTTACGGAATTTTTTCCCAAGGTTCATTTATCTATGCATAGACCCTATTTTAAAATCGAACCCCCTGGTACATTGTGCCCTGTGACTGCAGGATCTGCGTCTCGATGAGAAGTCCTCTCATGTCTGAAGTCAGAGTTGAGTTGAGTTTCCTGGTTTTTTCTTAGGTTTTCCAGTGTTTTTCTTGTTTTATCCAGATTTTCAGTTAACAGTTTAAGAGCCTTGATCTTTTCAGCAGTGATCAACAGAAAATACCAAGGAAACTTTGCTATTCTTCCCATCTGAACCAATTTCCCCATCCAAAAAATAGGAATAAGAGAGATCACCCACATTGTCAACCCAGCCTATTGTGAAAGACACAGGATTTTACTTACAGAACCAGTCCTTTCCTGTTGTAGTCTCTGAACCTAGTCAGTGTAGAATAGAGAAGGGGAAATACTATTTGTTGTTAGGCTTGTACTAGGCTTTCATTGTTCCTTAGTTGCTTGCCTGGTGCTGGGAAAACTGGTGGTGATGGCAGGTGCAGGTACCCTTTAATACTTTTTAGCAAAATGGTAGCCAAAAATGAGCTGCCTTTCCTTCTACAACCAAAAAATTTGTGTATGTTTGAATTTCTCGCCAGTTCTGTATAAAATGAAATGGAAGATAGATGCATTTAGAATACATCGAAATTAAGCTTTAAAAAATTTACAGTTACTCCTCACAGAAATAAGAGGCATTTATTTATTTATTTATTTATTTATTTATTTATTTATTTATTTATTTATGGTACTGGGGATCACACTGAGGACCTTGCACTTTCGAGGCAGGCAGCGGAATCACTGAGCTAAATCCCCAGCCCCTAGAAGAATTTATTAAATCTTCAATATGTGCTGCCCATCTTATGAGCTACCAAAAAGGACATTTCTTCTTGCTTCTGTGAATCTGTATGTATCCACGATAATCTCACTTTTAGACAGACTGTGTAATGGGGGAAAAATCATCTTTTAAGTAGGATTTGTTAAATGCACATTTATTTAGAAGGTAAAAAGCAGTGGACTTTGGAAGAAAAAAGCCCTATCCGGGGCCGGGGATTTAGCTCAGTGGTTCTGCTGCCTGCCTCACAAGCGCAAGGACCCAAGTTTGATCCCTGGTACCAAAAGAAAAAAGAAAAAAAAAGCCCTATCTATTAATATACAGTTATCGAGTGATCACTGATAATTACTTGTGGACTCAATTCAGGAGTTGATTATTATGAACAATGCTACCATGAACGTTCACATGCAAGTTTTTGGACATATGTTTTCATTTTTCTTGGGCATGTTTTAATTATAAAAAGTCTTATTCTGAAAAAGTCTTTATTCAGAAGTATAAAACTTGGTAAATTAAAGTTGCCTTTCCAATTCTTCTTCCTAGAGGTGGTGAAGTTAGTAATAAGAAGTACCACCTGAGTGTTCAGTACATTTGTTATATGGCAGGTACTGTGGTGCTGTATACACACATATATATATATTTTAATTAATTTATTCCCTATGTACATGAAATAGCTAATTTTCATCATAATCCCATGACGCCCTCTCCCTGTTTTACAGATGAAGAAACTAAAATTTGAGGATTACATTGTAAAGTCACACTTCTAGTAAGTGGCAGAGCCAGAATTAGAACCTGAGCAGTCTGATATTTATTCTTTCAGACTTTCCAAAATACGCAGTTTTTAAAACATTCTTTTTCTTTTTGCAGTGCTCTGGGACTTAGGGACTTGAACAGGGCCTTGTGCATGCTAGGCAACCCTTGTACCACTGAGCTACATCTTCAGCCCACTTTTTTCAATGAATAAAAATTATATACTTATTTTATTTTGTAGCTCGTTTTATTTTCTTGACTTGATTGTTTTATGATAGGATTTATGGATTTATTATTTTTAATGGCTGCATCAATGGTGAATATGCCCTTTGTCTAATTCATTTTTGTGTTAGTGGACATCAGATTGTCTTCTCTTCATGAATGGGGTTGTAGTGAATATCTTCATATAATAGTTTGCTTATTTATGGAATTACTTTTGTCATATAAAATCTTAGAAGTAGAAATTCCAGATACAAGAATTTATCCATTTGAATTCTGGTGGTGAAAAATTCCTCTCCCAACACATGCTGCTAAATAACTGTCCCCATTCTCCTATCTCCTCACCTCTGCAATCAGGGTGTAAGAGAACCAACTTTTTTACTCTTATTTCTGTGATATCAGTCATTTAAATGTTCCAGAGAGATATTAGCTTATCAGGGAGAGACAGTGGAGAACAATTGCTAAACCAACCCTTTGCAGCCTCTAGTGATAGGTAAGGTTGTAGTATTTCTCTTAGCCCTCAAACTGAAACAGTGGAGTAGCACGCACTTTAGATCAGATTAATTTAGGACAACTCACTTGGTTGGTGACCTGATAGGAACACTGTTTAGGACATTTCCACCAGAGCTATTTCCACTTTCTTAGACCTATAATGTAACTGCTGTGGATTTATAGTTAACCTTTTATCTCATTGTTCCCTGTAGTAGCCCTGTCTTGCCCCAACCTGTTTATAAAATATAGCTGAGAAGAGAGAACAAGACCTTGGATATCTGATGGATAAGTATGCTTGCCCTTTGCGTTCTTTCCTTTAGTAGAAATTGCCAAAGTGAGGTCAGCAACCTAATGTGTTTCAGTATCTCCAGGAGGGCCCCATCGTGGTTCTAAAAGCATCAAAGACACAGAGTATTAGATATTACTATTTGTAAATAATCCTTATTGTCTGGCAGGAGCTAGGCTCTGCCGTAGATCCCAAATCTTGAGACTGACCTTACCATGCCTTGTGGATTTTGTCGTTTCCTTCTCACTGCCAGGTCTGATATCTGCATCCTGAAGCGCTGTTAGTCTGGGGAATGCTGCCCTCTACTGGTGGGCCGAAGCACACGCACAGCAGTTTGCGGGGATTTGATCACTCCGGGAATTGACAAAGCTGTATGAAGCTTGAGTCATAAAATCTTTCTGTAGTAGCCAACTTTATGATCCAATGAAGACCTTTTACTATGAAATAATTTTGCAGCGTTAGAAAATATCCAGGAAGGATCTAGGGTGAACGGAGCGCGGTGCTGAGGCCCCTCAGCGAAAAAAATGTCCGCCCGAGGAGACCCACCAGCTCTGTGAGGGGACCGCAGCCCGCTCGGAAGAAGGCGGCCGCCGAGCCCGCCCGCGCGCGTCCGGAGGGAACTTTCGCTGGAGGCTGGACCTGCGAGAAGTGACCGAAGGTGAACCCCCAACAACAGCGCATGGCTGCGATAGGGACCGACAAGGAGCTGAGCGACCTGCTGGACTTCAGTGCGCCGTTTTCCCCACCTGTTAATAGCGGGAAAACCAGACCAACGACTCAGGAAGCAGTCAGTTCAGTGGATCAGAACTTAGAAGATGATGTAACACTTTCCACCTTTCTTTATGAAGCCAGAATTAACCTGATTATGTAAACGAGGCAAACAGTAAACAATAAATGAAGGACAAAGAAAAACTATGGACCAGTTTACCTCATGAACATATTGCAGAAATCCTAAAAAAAAAAAAGCAAGTTAAATTCCACTGTTCATAAAAGGAAAATCATAATCAAAACAAACTATAGCTAACATCATACTTAATGGTGAAGGAATGAAAGTTTTCTTCCATAAACAAGAACAAAGCAAGAATGTCTGCCCTTAACCTCTCTCCAGTTCAGTAGTTTACTAGAAAATCCTGGTCAGCATTAATATGGCAACAAAAGGAAATAAAAGAGGAGGAGATTGGGAAAGAAGAAATAAAACTGTTTCCATTGACAGACAACATGATTGTCCCAAAGAATCTTCAAAAACCTAGAGTTTAGCAAGGTCACGGGATATAAGATACACACCCATTCCCATCCCAGTCTTAATTCTCTATACATTTGGCCCTCCATTTCTTCAGGTTCATTGTCTGCAGATTCAACCACCATGGATTAAAAGTATGTGAAAAAAAATTGTGGCTGCACTAAGCCCTTTGTTGTCATATTCCCTAGGGAATATAATATAACATTTATATAGCATTTACATTGTTTTAAGTATTATAACTAGTTTGGAGATGATTTAAAATATACAAGAGGATGTGTATAGGTTGTATACAAATACTATGCCATTTTTAAAGGAACTTGAGTATCTGTGGATTTTGGTATTTGTGGAGTTTCCTGGAAGCACTCTTGTGGATACTGAAAAACCACTGTCTAGCAATGTACAATAGGAATATGGAATAACAAGTACTATTTACAGTAGTTCCAAAGGAACAGATACTTAGGTATAAATATAACATACATATACACTTCATCTGTATGCTGAAATCTAAATACAATGGAAGGAAATCAAAACAGACCTAAATGTAGAAGTATACTATGTTCATATAAAAGCTGTCATTCCTTCCCAATTTGATTTATAGATTTAATACAGTTCCAATAAAAATTCTAGCAGTATAGGAGCACAGGGAATCTGACATCGAAATTTAGATGGAAATGTAAAGAAATTAGAATATTCAAAAATTTTGGAAAAGAAGAATAAAATAAAAGGATTATACTTTGTGATTTTGATATAGTGTAATTTACAGGAAGTACTGCACTGTGAAGGGATACAGATGTATTCTCCCCTGCCCTCCCCTCCTTTGACTCCTTTCTGTATTTTGGGGCATAGGATGGAGTACTAAACAAGAAAACATGGTTGTCAGTCTAGCATGTCATTTCTAGAGAATCATATGTAGATGTATTCTTATCCAGAAAAGAAAATAAAAGTGATTTGAAAGAAAAAAAAAAAAGAAAATATCCAAGTGTCCATACTTTCATTGTGGCATTATCTGTAATGGCAAAAGAATAATATCTATGTGTCTAGTGCTAGTTAATTTTGTTTCCATGAAGGGGAATGACTTATAACTGCTAAAATTGACTACTTACCACAAAACAACAACCAGGCAGAATATACCAGTTCCAGCCATGGAGGGTATATCTATGTAGGATGAGGGCTAATCTCTGATCTTCAAAAGGAGTTGTCAAAACTGAGATGTATTCTTTTGTGGTGGATTAACTAATGGTCAACTTGTAATGCCCTGCTGAACTAAATCAGTGTGGTCTGGGCATGGAAGACCCACCTGAAGATTGTTGCCAATGGCATAAAAAGAGAACTAAAGAGGAAGATCTTGGGCTGTTGATTTTGTAGGAGAAGCTTGCTGCGGATGGTTTTCCTGATGCGAACTTGGCTGTTCTCATCATGGGAGTTCTGATCTTCACCGTGAGCATCGCTTCCTGTCTCCCGTATACATCCCTCAGTCTGGTGGCACAAATCTTTTACCCTACCGGCACAGGTTTTCTGGTTTCCACCACTGGCCTTTGGGCCTTCCTAGTGCACATCCTTGATGGAAACAAGCATGAGTTATTGCAGTGAGCTCTAGGCCACTGGCTGGACTCGTGGAGGATAGTGCCTTGGACTCTAGACCTTCGGCTGGACTCGTGTGGGACATTGCTGTAGGATCCAGACCCTTGGCTGGATTCTTTGGGTCTCTAGTGCGTGGCTAGATCTCTTGGACTCTTCTACATTTGACCTTTTGGAAGACTATTATAAAATAATCCTATAAATTATGTGTCATGTATTAGATCTATTCCCTTGATAACCCTGACCACAATACCTTTGTATTGTTAGTAAACACTGGGAACAGAAAGATTACCTGAATGGTTGACAGCATAACTCAAATATAGGATGACTCTTACAAGGTGACCAGGCAGTGTAAAACACTGTGATTTCTGATCTCATGTTTCTGTTCCTCTATCAGTGACTAGTTAGGTTTCTTCTGGTTTTATGAAATTGTAACAATTCTGCCAGTGGTCATGTTTATACATTTATCTTTGTAATCATATGTGAGTAGTTCTGTAAGATAGAGAGTACAAGTGGGATTCTTGGGTTAAAGGGTATGTGCAGTTTAAATTTTGATAGAAACTATAAGCAGTTTTTCCAGCTGTACATCAATCACCAGCATTACCTGAGCATATCCATTTCCTTAAACCTTCTTCAACACTGAAATATCCTGAATATTTTTTATTTTTTGCCAGCTGATAAATTATTTATAATGTTTTTTATCTTGTTTTTATTAGTAACCTTTTCATTATATCCATATTATTCATATTAGAAGATCTTTGCCTGGTCATATTCTTTGTCCATTGGTGATTTTGCTTATCTTTTTCTTACTGATTTGTAGGAATTCTTTGTTTTACAAATATTAATATATGCGTGTGTAAGTGTGATATATATTTGAAGGTGTTTGCTCTTTAGAAATCAGACATTTAGCATGGTGTGAAGGTACACTCCTATAATCCCAGCTGCTTGGAAGGCTAAGGCAGGGAGATTGCAAGTTTAGGACCAGCTTGGGCAACTTAGCGAGACCCTGTCTCAAAGTAAAAAAAATTAAAAGAGTTGGGGATGTAGCTCTGCTCCATGGGTACAAATCCCCCACCCTCAGTAAAGCCCCTGTTTTCCCAAAAGAAAGAAAGATGAAAATCTGGTCATTTTTGGTTAATGATATATAGGTTTCATGTTATACTTACAAAGATTTTCCCCTACTCCCCCTTGGTAAAATACATATATTCTCCTATTTTTTCTTCTAATACTTTTCTAGCTCAATTTTTATGTGGATGTATGTGATTACTTTATATCTCAGGAAATTCTGATTATATGAGTTATCAACATATTTTGGCAAAAGAAAAGAGAATGCTTAATTCAGAAAGATACTAAAAATCAAAACAATATGCCCTGTTGGTTGTTACTATTTTTGGGTTATAGACTTGAAATCAGGATGCCTTCCTTGTCTCCCTCTCCACTCTATTTATATTTGCCCTTTTCTTAACTCTTTTGTAAAAGTCCCTATTATTTTTATTAACAATAATAGCTGTATAGCACTTGTATTTATAAAATGTTTCCACAACATTCTAGTTTGTTGCTCAGAACATTCTTAAAGCTTGACAGTAGGTTTAATTAAAGACTGTAAAGTATTAAAGGACAGAAGTTTTCTGGCTTCAAAAATTCTAGTGGCTGCTCTTTAAAGAACATATGAATGTTGACCTACAATAAGTCTTCTGTTCATCTTTTTTAAAAGGCTTATAGTTCAGCACCTGCTTACAGAATTTTCCATCCCCTGGGAGGGGAAAAAAAACCCCAAAATCTTATTATGCTTCCTAAGGGTTTGTTTGGTGCTTTGGGGGAGAAGTTAGGAATGTGACATAATTAGAATTATGAAATAGTTAAAATATTGTATTGCTGCTGGTTTGATTTCCAGTGTCTGGCCACTGTACAATATAGAATTTACTAAATATACATTCAGGACCTCCCACCCCCACCCCATACTAGGATTGAACCCAGGGCTATTGGGCTGAGCTACATCTTCGGTCCTTTATTTTGAGACAAGATCTAAGTCACCAAGTTTTCCAGGCTGGGCTAAACTTAAGATCCTTCTGCCCCAGCCTCTCAAAGTGGTATGAGTATAGGCATGTGCCACCATCCCCAGCTGCATTCAGGAGTTTTATTTTTATTTATTTTTACTTTTTATTTTTGGTATCAGGGATTGAACTCGGGTCCTTGTGCATGCGAGGCAGACAGCAGAACCACTGAGCTAAATCCCCAGCCCATCAGGAGTTTTAATGCTGCTCTGTAGCCCTTTAAAACCAGGATTTCATTTCCAGTTCTATATTTGACTCCTTACTCCAGAACTCCATCTATAGGTACCTGCCCCAGTTGCCTACTGGTAAACTTGTCTATCAAATCATATCATTTTGCTAAGTGTTTATTTTCGTTTTGCATGTGTGTGGTACTGGATTTTCATGTGCTTCACCACTGAGCTACATTCCCCAGCCCATTCCAAAATCAATTAGCAATAATCACACCTCGGATAAACCTCATTGGCTACGATACTGCCACTGCGCAAAGCTTAGCCCATTCCAAAATCATTCGGAATTCTTGTCCTGAACCACTAAGTGTAAATAACACAAATCCATTTTCTTTTTGTTTTATTTTTAATGGTTCTTGTTGTTGTTTGGTACCAGGGATGGAACTCAGGACCTTGTGCTTGCAGGGCAGGCACAGTGCCACTGAGCTAAATCCCCAGCCCTTCTTTGAATAAAAGCATTATAATGATGGAATTTATAATATATTACCCTGGAAATCTAGCAGTTTCTTTTTATGCTCCATTCACCTAAGAAGTCTCAGTGTTACGTGATAAAGGATCCAGACTTTTCAATTTTTTATTAACTTGATCTGTTTGGATTCAGTGGAATCCAAGTACTGTATTTTACTTGTTTCACCAGAACTGAGCCAACAACTTTAAAAGGGCAATACCAGTCTTGGAATTCACCATTTCTACGTTGGAATCAAAAGGGCAAGTAAGATTATAAAGAACTGTTTTTCAGGATTAAGCTCACAGGATTGCCTTAATGCATCTGAGTGTTTCTTGGATGGTGAATGGGGAGAGTTGTAGAGGCCTTAAAATCATTGGAGAGAGGGAAATTTTTAATGTGGTGGC